ATCTGTAGTCACACACCGGGATATATTAGATGCATAAGCATCTGGGAACTTTATCGACCTCAACCAGTCACAAAACGACCTTCGTTGTGCGGTTTTTAAGGTGTATAAAGCAGGAGGCATTTTATACTTATCACCTTCTCTCACCAGATGTAGCTCTTTCCTAATACGCATGTCTTCCAAATCACGTCTAGCATTGGCTGTATCTTTGGTCTTTCCCTCGATATTTAGCAGCGTAGCTATCACATTCTCACTAATGTTTTTTTCAACATGCATTACATCTAAGTTATGCCTCAACTCTATAGTTTTCCAATATGGCAAACTCCAAAATGAAGCTTTTATTTTGCAGTTATGCACATTATCATCAGAACAGCCCCTTTTCCTTTTCCCACCCTCATTGACTACCATATCAGATTGAAAAGCCTTCTCAATTTGCTGCAAAAGTTCATCTCCAGATAACACTCTTGGTTTGCCTCTAAGTTCATGCTTTCCATCAAATTTACGGCTTTTTCTCCACCTATGGTCACTTGGCAGCCATCTTCGATGCCCCATGTAACACTCTTTATGACTGGCATGTAATCGTTCGGAACATGTCCCAATATTACAGACAGGACAAGCTAATCTCCCCTTTGTACCCCAGCCCGATAGCATGCCATATGCTGGGAAATCATTTATTGTCCATAACAACGCAGCATGTAAACGAAATGTTTCGTTTGAGTGTGCGTCATACGTACTGACCCCATCCTCCCATAACTCTCTCAGCATTTCTATTAGGGGCTCTAAGTACACATGTATGTTATTACCAGGCGATTTCTCTCCAGGTATAAGGATAGTGAGAATAAAAAAAGGTTCGGTCATACATTTCCAAGGCGGGAGATTGTATGGTGTTACCACGACAGGCCACATGCTATAACTATTGCTCATGTTACCAAAAGGGTTGAACCCATCACTCAGAAGAGCAAGCCTAACATTCCTAGGGTCTGCAGCGAACCAATTATGATCCTCATCAAACCGTTTCCAAGTTCTTGCATCAGCCGGATGCCTTAGCGTATCATCATCAACACGCAATTCCTTGTGCCACCGCATGTCTTTAGCATCTTCCTTAGTCATGAACAATCTTTGAAGCCTATCTTTTAGTGGGAAATACCTAGCTTTCCTTTGGGCTACATTATTTTGTTTCCCAGGTATGTATCTAGGCTCATTGCATTTTGGGCATGTAATGGCAGATTCTAGAGGACCTCTATAGAGTACACAATGATTTGGGCATGCATCTATAGTGGTGTAACCGAACCCAAGATCTCCCATGTACCGCTTAACTTCATAGAATGAAGAAGGAAGCGTCTCGCCAACAGGTAATGCTTTCTTGACTAGGTCCAGATTCAGGTTGAAGGATTTGTCAGTACTGTTGGTTACCAGTTTATTGTTCAGCAGCTTCATAACGAATGATAATCTAGAAAAGTCTTTGCATCCAGGGTATAATGGCAAATTGGCATCACGAATTAGCCGAGCCAATTTGTCATTGAGGTCTGTTAGATTAGAATAATTTGGTGTTGTTGACCCCTCAATGACAGGAGCATTTCCAGAAGTAGCACGCAGCATATCCCCTAACATATCAGCCATGTCATCCTCTAAACCGTCACTCTCAGACACAACTGTAGGTTGCCTAGGCTGATGACTAGTACTCTCAAAGTCAAACGACTCACCATGATGGATCCATGTAGTATATGTCTCCACCAAGCCATTCCTGGTTATATCATCTGCGACAATCTCCAGCTTCTTGAAGTTTCGATTATTGCACATTTTACAAGGGCATCTAGTTCTACCTAGCGTATCAACATGTTTGCTGGCAGCCCCTATGAACTCAGAAACCCCCTTTTGATATTCATCACAGAACCTATCCTTAAGCTTAATCCAATTTCTACTCATTCAATCTGTGCGTAAAGAAACTGACCTTCCCTTTATAGGCAGTTGGTCAAGATGGAAGCACAGCGTGAGATGAACTAGAAAAGGATCTGCAGAGGGTATATGACAAAACATTAGGAACAATGTTGACTTACACGATTTCAAGTGGAACACAAATTAAAATTCAAGACATTAATCGAATCTTACCTTTGCTTAGTGCTTGGGGCGCATTCTCTGTATTGTAATTAGCTGAAAAGGATGGTTGAAGGATCGAAGATATAATCAGCCCCTGCCACCGAGTCAATGACGAGGAAACACAAGAGCTCATTCAGATAGATAAACCAACAGAATTGGCTCGGCTAATTTAGGTTGCGGAGATTGGGGATCTTTTGAACTGTGGTGGTGCTAAAGCAGTACACAGTAGCCAGGGGAGGGAGGGACGACGCTTACCTGTTTCTGCCAGACCAGTGAGTTTGCTACAGAGCTGTTGCTACGCAAATTTAGGTTGCGGAGATTGGGGATCTTTGAACTGTGGTTGTGACGGGCCGATTGGTGGAACGGTGACGACGACGGAACACCCGCCGGTGAGTGGCCGGGCCGATTGGTGGAGGACAGGTAAAGGATCGCGGTGGTTGGAAAGAAATCGACTGCGCATTTTTTTTTTTTGTTGATAAGAAATCGGCTGCGCAGTTTGCAGAGACAAGAAAGGAACATAATTTTTTTCCCGAGGGGAAAGAGGTTTCAGCCTAAAAAGAACCAAATATGACGAAATGCCTTTGTCACGACACGAAACCACTATATTACCACTAACATTACATTTTGTCAGATTGGCGAGGGATTATGGTTGTGTATTGTGACAAACCAAATTGTCGTTTAAACAATTCAGGAAGACATAATATGACAAACGATACTTTGTCGATGACATTTTGTCACTTTATGTCTCTTAGATACCGATGTGGGAAACCTATTTTGACAAACCATATGGTGACACACAAATTTGGTCACATTAAAGACTTTAACTGACAAATTATTATGACAAAACAACATTTTCTCACATTAGGAGTACCAAATGTGACATATAAGTTTTTTGTCATATTATAACACCTATTATGACAAACGAAATATGACCAAATTTTTTTTTGTCCTAATAGGCCGAATTTGTTGTAGTGATCACCCCATTGTCCAGAAATTCGATTCGGTAATTTTCCGGTAAAACGAACCGAAAAAACCGTCCGCAACTACTCCTTACGGTAAGTCGGTAAAACCGATTTGTAACTGTTTACCGGTAATTCGGTAACCGGTAAACCGGTTACAAACCGGTATCTGTAATCGATTCCCACTTACCCACACTCGGCATACCGAAAACCGGCAAAGTCGGTAACCGGTTTACCGATTACCGACCGAATACCACCCCTAGCAGAGGTGGGAGCAAGGGCAAGGGTCGCAGCGGCCGCGAGTTGGAGTATGGGGAAGGTCCTGTTTTTTTTTTACTTATTTTATTTTCGAATTATATATTTTTTTTTGGTAGAATCGAATTATATATTTTAAAATAAATATTATATGTAATATACGTGTCATTTAATGATGATTTGTCGATGATGTGTGCGCTGATTTGGCGTCATAGTCAGCGTATTGCTAACTGAACTGACGGCGTCTTTAACACTGTTAAAGTTTCTAACGGAAATAGCTAGATTTGTCACATGACCATCCAATTTTTTGGCTCTTGTGTGTTTTCCGATAGTTATGGCTATATTTGTAAAAAAGTGAAAGTTATTATGGGGTCGTTTGGATGTGGAAATTTGAAAACGTTGGAATTTGTCTGAATTTCCATGTTTTACAAAATCAAGGAATTGACTTGTGAAAATTGAAAAAAAATCACGTTTGGATAGGGTTTAGTTTTGTGGGAATTGATGGTGTGGAATTTGGAAAAAGAAGTGAGAAAACGTGGTAATGTCAAATTACTAGGGGAGGTGTAGTATTCTCAATTACCATGAATGTGGTAATTGAAGCCAATTTCCATGGTCCAATTCCCATACCCTTTTTGCTCTCCCAAACGTGGGTTTTTAACCCAATTACTGCATTATGTGGTAATTGGGTCCAATTACTGCATTACATTTCCACATCCAAACGACCCCTATGTATTTTGATTGCCTTTTATCTACTAAACATTAAGAGCTAACGCTTTTGTTAATCCAACTCTCACAACTTTATTTTTTCCATCTTTAATGCTTTTCTTTTTCTCTGCAGGTTACACTCATGGTACAAAGCTCTCTGTATACATGAGCTTCACCTGTCACCGCCATTCACCGGTAGAGATGACGAACATTATCCCCTTGTGCTGCAGCTTTTGCTTCAAGCTTTGTCCATAAGTATTAATTGCCGATAAGGATTGGTGTGGCCGAACTAGAGCTACAGATGTGTTTGTACCCATGCAATAAATACATGTTCATCTTCTGAAGGTAAGGATCATTAATTTACCAACTTGATTCCTTATATTTTTTTCACGTGCAACATTCTAGAATTGCAGATTAGGTAATCTTGACATATATTATTTCACCACTTTAGCGAGCAAAGAGTGTGGTGCGATCATAATCTTTGAAATTGATGAAACTCATGCAATCATCAAAAATCCAAGCCAAGATTTCATCCATCCGATTGACATTGCTCGTGGAGGATAACGATTGATGCAGTCTCCCCACACATTCACGTTCTCCAAGTCCCGCACCACCGTCCAGACGCAAGTGTTGCACAGAAACCCTGCTCCCAACCCCACCATCATGATCCTGTCTCCTTTCTTCAACCTCTTCTTGGCCTCCATGTACCCCAAAACATACCAAAGGCTGCTGCAGGACGTGTTCCCGAATCGATGGAGTGACATCCTCGAAGGTTCCATGTCATATTCCTTCAGCCCAAAACTCTTCTCAAACCCATCTATCACCGCTCTCCCACCTGTATGCATGCAGAAATGCTGGATCCTAGTCTTCATGTCGATGACCGGTGGTTTTGCTTCCTTCTCCCCCATCAGCCTGGTTTTCCAGTAGTAGCTAGCCACAACAAAACGTAGGATTTCCCACAGGGGAAGCACCTTGGGAAGCAGGACCCTAAGGTTCCCCTCCAAAGCCCGCATGGCTATCGTGGGTAGAGCTTTGGTCAAACGGGCGCCCACGTAGCCCTGGTCGTCCTCCACGTGGACGGCACATTCGTACGCCTCGTTGTCGGACACGTGGTTCCGGACCACAACGTCCAGCTTCAGGATGGCGCTGGTCCTTCCAGGACGGGTGGTTGGTGAGGATGAGGGAGCTCCCACCGGCTCGGAACAGAACGTTGGACAACATCATCTGACTGTCCGTCCCTCCATACCAATTGGGCGCCGTCAGCTCTACCGCCACGACCACCGCGAAGCTGTTGGGATGAGTGTTGAACAACTGTTGGACCAGATCGACGGCGATGACGCTGGAGCTGCACCCCATCCCGGTGAGGCTGAAGCACTTGATACTTTCCTTCATCCCGTAGCGGTTGACGATCCGGCTGGAGAGGGAGGGGACGGGGGCGAATAGGGATCCGGTTGTGACGAGGATGTCGATCTGGCAAGGGGAGACTGCTGACCTGGCGAACAGGCTGTCGAGGTTGCTGAAAGTGGCGTCGGTCATCTCGTCGAGGGAGTCCTGGAGCGTTGGGGACATTTCACGACCTTCCATGATGTTCCTGGGGATGTAGGTTTCTTCTCCAATGCCGGAGCGGACCATGGTCCTTACCATGAACCTGTATTCTTCCAGGCCCAGGTTTCTGTTGCGGAGAGCGATTTTGGCTGCTGTTCCAGAGCTTAACTTGAGGTCGTCAGGAGCTTTGTAACACTGGTAACCCAGTAGGTAGCAATTTTTGTGTGAGTTACGGTATAGGGATTTGTAAAGCATGGAGAGGAAGAGCAGCCAAATTATAGCTGCCACGAGGAACATCTCCATGTAGAAGACCGGTTAAAAGAATTGGCTTTTTTTGCCCCAGGGGTGGTGGTGCATGTTGGTGAACCTGGCGAAATCAAGCAACTTTGAAGCAAATTTATAGGGATTCTTTTTAAAAAACAATTTATCTACAAGACTTGGGACTTGAGAGAGTGGAAGGGAGAGGTTGGGCAAGTGGTCATTAACTCTTTTTGTATTACTTTTGATTCCATCATCATTCAGCTACCGTGTCTAGCTAGCAACTTAGTTGCTGCCCCCTTTAATTAATTTCCATGAATAGTTGGTGAGTTTCTAGAACCAAAAAGACTTGTACAACTATACTTTATGTAATTTTTGTAACATCCAAACATTTTGCGATAAAAATTATTGTCCGTTTTGGGTCTAGATTCGCCCGGTTTATATCTAGAGTGCCTATCAAGTTGACTTCTCGAGAGATCATTCATCCTTGCATTGCTTTGCATTGAGCATATTTAACTTCCATGTTCTTACAAGAACTCTTTTATTTCTCCCCAAAAATATATTGTCAGCTAAAGTCGGTTTCTTACTTATAAATTATGGATCTCTTGCGTGTTTTGCTAATGTGTGATTATCCTAAGGTGTTACATACACCTCACTCGGGACTAACTGTACTCCGCTGAGATTTTCCCTAAAATCGCCCGAGAGAGATGCAGAGTGGTCTTGATACCACTTGTAACATCCCCAATTTTTTTCCGACCAAGCTATTGTCCGCTGTATCTAGACGTACATGGTTTTTGCATTGGAGGGCATCTCAAGGTGACTTCTCCAAGGGTTTAATTTTTCTTATATTGCTCAACTGTAAGCACAATTAATTTGGAAATTATTATAAGAACTCTTGCTTTTCACCACAAAATGTGTATTGCCAGTTAAAGCTGATTTTTACTTATGAATCATACATCTATCTTATACTTTTTCCATGTAAATTTTGCCTAAGCTAGTACACTTTTCTAAGTGGGCCTAGTGATGATCACGTAAATCGTCTTATTGTTTAATTAGAATCAGTTTCTTCACATACCACTGATTCAGAATTAAAAGAAGATCAACATAATAAAATAGATCTAGTCATTGTCATTGCTTTAAAAAAAATTCCCGATCAGACTTTTCTCTTGATGAACACTTCATATGAAGATGAGCTATCCGTTGAACCAAACATAGCAAATCCCTTTTTAGGACAATCCTCCCAAATTTCACTTCGTAAGTAGTTGGGTTGTGTTAGCTGGTATACGTTAATAACGTTCATTGGAAAGCATTATACAGATTGGCTGCCAGCTTGGGTTTCGTAGAGAAGTGGATTACTTGCATGAAAGCTTGTGTAATGTAACCTGCCAATTATCTCAGTGCTGGTGAATGGAGAAGCCTGCAGGAGTTTATTCCCTATATTAGAAAGGCATAATAAAGGGGATCCCCTCCCACCGACGCAATTTACACATTGTGATTGATATTTTGGCATTCATGTTACCAAAGTTGAAAAGGAATTGGGGTATTAGGGTTTTGTATTAATGAAGCAGATAGGATATGTGGTGAAAGTTATGCATCTCTTAAGTGTTAACGAACCATATAAACATCCACTACTGGATCCAGATTTTGGAAAAGGGTTTGGCAAGGGTTTTCTCGATAGACCAGAATACTATAATCATTGTCCGGTTCGAGTGCTCGTACGCTATCCGTAATCGTAACCGATGAGTTAATTTTTTTGAGTTGAACCTTAACTAAGTGTGGTGATGTTGCATTGACACCTTTGCAGCTGCACATGGAAGAATAAGAATTCCGAGTCAATGTCCAAGGCACAAATGGTAATGGCAGAAGATGTTGAATTTGAAAAAAATAAAAATAAAGTTGAATTAATAAAGTAAAGAACAAAATCAAAATGTGCTAGATGGGAGGAGTAGGTGTGTGTGGATGAGTGTGTGTCGACTTGTGTAGAACAAGAAATAAATTGGGTTAGTTGTTAGTTTGAAGTTTTATAACAAATAAAGAACAAGGCTGACCACAATTTTGGATCGGTTAGCCTTGATATGTGTTGATGTAAGGCTTATAAATAGGCATTGAACTAGTCGTGTAAGAGAAAGCAGAGCAAACCAAGAACAAAGAGAAAGAAATAAGAATCCCCCTTTTGTCTTTAGCTCTCTCTCCCACCGAGCCGGATCTGGTGACTAAGGGGTGCTTAGTCATTTGGATAATCCCTCTCAACTCTTAGATTTTGACACACTAATTTCTCGGTTTAAAAGTGGGAAGAGCTTTTTAATTTATGATAGGGGTAATTTCGGTATTATGGAAAATTACGAAGTGTACAAACCAAACTTACAAAGAGTACGAACCATACAAACATAAAACAATACAAACTAGAGCGATAAAACATACAAACAAATTTACAAACAATACGAAACGTATGAACTACACAAACAATACAAAACTAGACTTACAAACATGCTAACAGTACAAAATGTCACTGCTTACAATACAAAACAATAAACTTGTATTATAAATCAATGAATACAAACTAGATAAACAAATATTACAAATTACAATGTATACAAATTAGTCTTATAAACATTATAAACAAAATAGATAAAAATGACAAATTAGAATGATAATCGATACAAGCCGAATTGATACAAAATCACAAAACATACTTACAAAAATTACAAAATCGTACAAAAAACATAACAAAATGAATGTTGTCGCCGTAAAATTCGCCGATGACGAAAAATCATCTCTCTCTCTCTGGGAATGGATCCCAGGAGGCGCCAAAAAGAAAATGGCGCACAAAAGGAACACAGCGCCGAAAAATCATGGTCGGCAATGGACAATGCCGGCACCGGGAAATTATGGTCGGGGGAGGATAACTCTGGAAACGGAGGGGTGAGAGTGGGAAATGATGGAGAGTTTTTAAAATTTTTAATAATTAAAAAATAAAAAAGATATGCAATTACTACATTGTCCTTCATTAAATTAAAATAATTGGAGTCATTAAATTTTAATGAGTTTGAAGGACTGAAATCGACTTAGACAAGAGACTGAAAATTCACTTAATCACCTGATCTTAGCCTCTCTGGCGCCTATCCTTCCACCAAAGCCCCTTCATTCTCCAAATATAAAAACCTCAAGTTGGCTTCCTCCAATCAATCTATAAGATATATGATGGAGATTCATGACTCAACTTTCTTCCATTTCAAATTTTCTGCAACGAGAGTGAAAGTAGGAAGGGTACTTTCGTCATTGCAATTGTTTATTTTTTTATTTGAAAAAAATATCAGTGTCAAGATTTGAACCCGGGTCTCTTCTAACAAGGACAAGAGTCATAACCAATAAGACTAAACAAATTTGTTGCATTTATTTATAAAAAAAACATACAAGAGGCAAAATTCTGAAAATCAAATGACTTTTCCAGCACAGTTAGCTACCCCACTAAGTCTTTCTTAAGCATTTTTAGTGTTGGATCTGTGATTATCATTTATTATTATTTTATTTTGACTTCAATAATAATGGTAGTCTATCTTATAAATGGAGGATAATCTTAAAACCGCAATCCAAATATCATTTATTCGAATATTGCATATCAAATTACAATATTAAATATATATGTGCACACACAACCACATATATATGGGTCAGACTGGTGTACTCCTGGAGTATATTATACTTCAGGTACTCTTCGTGAGATATCTCTATCTAGACCATGATTTTTAACCGAGTTTGGGGTATGATACTCTACCCTAACCTCTAATGGATAAACCCCAGGCCCCGATTCTCTAAACTCAAACCCAAAGTTTAATTTAATGGAAAATTATAATTGACCATTGAGATTGATTGGAGCTCAACAAAGTACATCTAATGTCTAGATCATGTGGAGTATACTATACTCTTGGAGTATACCAGTATACTATACTCCTGTAGTATACCAGTATGTGTGTGTGTAGTGTTTTCTATCATATTTTGAGTAAATCAAAAGGTAATTCATACCCTTGGTAAGAAATGGCAATCTAGACTTTGAATTAACCTGATTTCGAGACGAGACACTATATTCTAACCCTTGACGAGTGAACTCTAGGTCTTAACTATTTAAATCATAGATCCTAAACCAAGGATTATAAAACCTCATCAGAGGTTGTACCGAAAAAGTCGGCAGGAGGGTATTTTATGCGAAAACTGTGGTTAACCGTGATTCAGTCGTTTCACAACACTACATAGTGCCTACTGGTTTAGTCGAACCCCCGGTACGTTAAGGGTTTTCAATCCTTGCCCTAAACACTAAGATTATGCACATAATTTTTTTGATGTATTTTGATGAAACACGACCTTCGATTATTGTTTCTAATAAAATTGATCTTAGTATATGAGCTTCATAGAATTAAGACCTAGATTTTAATCTGTAAGGGCTTAAGGTATAGTACCATGTCCCTAGCTCCGGCCACTAGACATCATTTTCATACTCAGAGTATATCATTCAAGGTCTATATATCATTTCCTTATGTCATTTTCTTAATCAAAATATGATAGAACCACCCATACTTATAGTTGTGTTATCCTGCTGGAAAGTCATTTGTTCTAAATGTTAGTTGGTTGGACTGCAGTTTTATCAGGGTTGTATGTTGTTTGAAACATTTTGAACTTCATTAGTCCAATATTTTTAGTACTCCTATATTATTTAGGGATAATATCCTATTTTGTGTTGAACTTTGATGTAAATAACAATTTTGGCATGAACATTCAAATAAGATAGTTTTGTCCGAATTTGAAAGAAATTAACAAATTTGGTCGGTTATTAATATTGAGGGTCAAACATTTCTTTTTTTTATGACTCAACATACAATGTTAAGGTGACTGTGGTGTGACTTTCACGTCATAGGTATAATATGCTATTTTGCCCTACACTTTCAAATAAGACAGTTTTGTACGAATTTTCAAAGAAATGAATAACTTTGACCCAAAATTTA